ATCAAATCCTGCAGGTAAAACTCCTATTGACTTCAGTACCTAAGTAAGGACTCCAGAGAGAGAGAGAGAGAGAGAGAGAGAGAGTGTGTGTGTGTGTGTGTGTGTGTGTGTGTAAAGAGAGAGAGAACGCGCAAGGGTTATACTTAATTTTAAAATAGATGCCAGTGGTTTTCTTCTGAGCCTGTTTACTCACTGGGGTTCGTGGGAGGTCAAGCTGGGGACTTGTTTATTTATTTTCCTCACTTTGCCTCACAGTCCTCCTCCAGACCACTCTGGATAGGTTTTCCACTGCCCTGTTAAACTGACTAAGTGTGCTGGGTACAGTAGCATCCACTCAGAAAAGAAAAGCAAGTGAGATGAGCATTTGTAAGAAAAGAAGCTGCATTCTGGCTCCCAACCCAGCACAGACTGGGGAAACAGGAAAAAGTGCTGGTAAACCCCAGCAGATCTGTACTGGCATTTTTATAAAAATCTTTTTATGTATTTACTTCAAAATTCTGGATACAGATGGACTTTCTAGGCCCATTATTTATTATTGTGTCTGCCTTGAAATAGGAACTGATCGCTTTGATTACCAGAATGGGATTTGCTTTTCTATCGTGCCTTTTATACTCGTGGAATCCCAAAAGGCTTTACTAAGCAATGACTTAGACATGAGGGGCTTTATTAATAATGGTAGTGCTGCCATGACTCTGTAGTTCAGATGGATCACTGTGTGTTCTCTTTCCTCCAGAGCAGAAGTACACCAGTCTGATAAGGTGCTGTGCTATGGCAGGATGCTGGCCCTTTCTCCATTGAGAACAGACCTGGGCTAGCAGGGCTCGCACTAACACGCTAGAAAAGGCTGCGTAGACAGCACTGTGAAGTTGCAGCTGGGGCTGGAGCTCAGGCTCTGAAGACTAAGGAAGGGGATGGGCTTCCAAGCCCTGCCTCCAGCCCAAGCCACAAGTTCAAAGCACTGTCTATACAGCTATTTTTAGAGCACTAGTGCAAGCCCCACTAAGTCTGTCAACCTGGGCTGGCAGGCTTGCTCCAAAATGCCCTGTTGACATACCCATAGTGCACACCTGAGAAGGGGAATTGTCTCTCCTTTCTTTCTCTAGCAGTTCTGCCTTTCTCTAGCAATTCTGTTTGGCTTGTCATCTGCCCCCCCTTTATGGTTGCCTCCACTGGGATTTTTGCCAGAAAAGTCTGTTGAAATGAAGCAGAACCCTGTTATTGTTTGCTGGATCTGACTATAAGTGAAATATGCATCACTGGATATTTTTGCTGCTTCCAAAAATACTCCCTTGACTCAACCACAGTTAAATGAAGATGAACTTTTCAGGGAAAGACATCAACATTGGACAGAGGGCTTGTTCCAGGTAGCATTTTGATAGCTGCTCTCCAATCCTCCATCCCGCTCATGGCTCCGTAAATACCTTCCAACTGGTGTAAAGGAGGCAGCCCTTAGCAGATTGAGCTCTGGTTTTGTCTTAATCAGCATTACCAATTAACTCAAGTTAGCAAACACATTTGTGCATGTCAGCCTGGACACCACAAATGTTTGTGTCTTGGAACAAAGGTTTGGGGAGTGTCCAGACTGTTAGCTAACTTAAGCTAACTGATATAATCAACCAATTGGAGTTAAAAATCCTCTGGTGTAGACACACACTATGTTGCTATGTTATAACCCTGGTATAAAGTAGAACCAAAAACGTAGTGGCCAAGTGCCTCATGTTCAGGAAGCTCTGACAAAGAACTGCAATTGTGGAAGAGCTCACAATGTCTCAAATCCACTCCAGAACAAACGAAACACTAAAACACAGTGTGCCATACCAGCTCATTATATGCACTGGCCATCTCATTTCATGTTATAACATTACAAGTCCAGGCAATGTAATTATGCCCTCAGAAACCCTCTACTCAGAAGGAATAGGAGTAAGGGGGGGGGGGCTAGGAAACAATTTTAATAGAAGAAAAACTGATGCGGGAGACAGAGTTAAGGGCTTCGGTTTCCCCTTGTTTTACAAATATGAAAGGCTAGACCCTACCTCACCCCTTCAGTGCCCTGGACACATTCAAGCTAAGGGTTCTGCCATCAGATAGCTTTTAAGCAGGAGAAATGAAAAACACATAAGTAACAGAGAATGTAACTCTCTACAACTGTGAGGTCTTTGTGGGGCAGACGGAGCAGTAGGGACGGACCAGGAATGAGATGGCGAGTTGTTTGGGAGTCTTGATGAACGCTTCAGTTTCTACTCTTCTATCTATTCGAAAGCAAGGGTAGCAGGAGGCTGCTTCTCCTGTTCACCTCTTGGGCCATATGCCCTTGAAGAAATTATCCAGATATGTGATTTCTCTAAAAGGGCATGATACAGGAAATGGTTTGGGAAGGGGAAAAAGCGATTCAGTATATAGTTTACTAGTTATTCTGTAGACTACTTAGTAAGAGAGATCATCTGCTGGACCCATCTCTGCTCTCAGCCCAACTCTCAATCACTGCCTCCTTGGTTCCCAAAGTGGTTCACGCTGCAGACTGCCAAGAAGGGCTAAGAGTAGGCCTGAGAACTACTGGCTTACACCCCAGCATACGTGCAGGTAAAGAGGGAATGAGTTGTGCCTGGCTGCTGCTGTTTCTGTCTAGCACAAGATACAATGTTGACTGGTGTGTGCACGCTCTTCTCGCTCTGCCCCGCAGAACACATTTGGAACAACGAATGTATGTCTTTGGGCTTGTCTATACTTACGCGCTGGTTTGGCGGCAGGCAATCGAACTTCTGGGTTCGATTTATCGCATCTTGTCTGGACGCGATAAATCGAACCCAGAAGTGCTCGCCGTCGACTCTGGTAATCCTGCTCGGCGCGAGGAGTACGCGGAGTCGACGGGAGAGCCTGCCTGCCGCGTCTGGACCGCGTTAAGTTCGAACTAAGGTACGTCTACTTCAGCTACGTTATTCACGTAGCTGAAGTTGCGTACCTTAGTTCGAATTGGGGGTTTAGTGTAGACCAGGCCTTTGTCTCAGTAAGTTCTTTCTCAAGGATATGTATTTTATGTATTGCTTTCAAACCCTCCCACAACTCAGGTTCCCTCTCTCCCACTCTAGGAAAATGCCCTTCTAGACAGTCGCCCAGCTTCTATGGGAATGGAATGTCCTTTTCTATTTCTCATAATCCCCTTGACCCATTCCTGCATTGAGAGAACAGAGAAACTGCTGAGCACTGTGCTTGTTCAATAGGCTAGTCTGAGACCTGCATTTGCTCCAGTTTTATTGTGTAAACAAAGCAGTATGTTACCCTGATCCCACTATCCAAACTCCTGCAGATAGGACAGGAAGCAAGAAGTAGTGTTAAGAAATAGAGAATTGCAGCTAGTAAATAAATCTGTTGTTGTGCTCCTGGGGAATTGGAATGAATATCCCAGAATGCATCTGTGTGCATATAGCACATTTCCAGGAAACATAGTGTCCCCCCAAAGCAACAAGTCAGGTGTGTGCGTTACTGACTAACATCATTATCTCTTCATCACCCTGCTCTGGACCCATAAATCACCCCAGTTCGTAGTGGAAAAGGACGAGTAATGCAAAAAGGGACTTACCTCCTTTCCCCACGGGATCTAAGTCAAGATGAAATCCTGTGGTTTATACATATAGGGATCTATTCTCCCACTGATGAATGAGGGATTTATGTGGATAAGACCTCTGAATATTAACAGGAATTATCCACAGAAAGCCTCACGTGCTCTGACAGAAGAATACACCTATGTGTTTCTCCATCTTGGAGTTTGGCTACAGCAATCAGCTAAGTCAACAGGAGTCAGTGCTTCCGATCCCTGTGGCTGAAGTCTAAAATGGAGGCATTAGCAAGATTTGCGGTGGACCTGCCAATGCCAACTCTGCATCAGAACTCTCTGGATGGAACTTTCAGACATGGACTGGTGCTCAGTGCCAGTCTGCACCAGGGAGAAAGAGAAGTAAGTGAGGAGAATTTTCCACACTTCTGAGCAAGAAAACAGGGTTGACAAGAAAAATGATGCGATTCCAAGAAACTTATGAGTAAATCCCCTTTTCCTAGAGCCAGACACATTGCTCTTCTTGGACAGAAGCTCACAGTTAGAGCTGGACTGTCTGTCCTTAATTTTTAACAAAGTAACCAAAAACACTGATGTAGTTCTTCTCAAACTTTTGTACTGGTGACCCCTTTCACACAGCAAACTCATGAGTGCAACCCCCCTTATAAATTAAAAACACTTTTTTTTTTGTATTTAACACTATTATAAATGCTGGAGGCAAAGCGGGGTTTGGGGATGGAGGCTGACAGCTCGCGACCCCCCATGTAATAACCGTGCAACCCCCCAGTTTGAGAACCCCTGAACTACATGGTATGGGAGGCTCCTGAGCTAACAAGATCTTCTCTCCTGAAGACCTGCATTCAGATCTAGCTAACTCCAGTAGTGAAATGAAGTCGCGAATGGGCATTTGTCTACAAAACCAAGACGTGGTTTAGGGCAGCTGACATTCTCTGCCCATGAGAAGCCCAGGAATTATCAGAAGGTGCTGCATGCCAGGCCTACCTGAGGTGGATTTCTGAGGTAGATTGTCAAAGCTGTCTCTAGTAGCCAGGAAAGATGCTGCAACTAAAACTGAAGTGAATTGGCAGAGGTGGGTGGGTGAGCCCATGATAAAAACTGAAGAAAGTAAAGAGCTAAGGGGGAACATACAATATTTTAGCTATCAATATTAAATAGGAATCGCATCTGCAGCTACCCTAGTTACAAAGATCACCAACCTTTCTGCTGGGATCAGGAAGAAATCCCTCCTCCCTCTCCGTGTATAACACTATGTGGTGCATTAAGGAGGTTTTACACCTTCCTCTAAAGCATCTGACCATTGTGTAATATCCTTTTTTGGACTACTCTAGATAAACGGACTGCAGGGTTTCTGATATAGTTGCACTTCCCTATTCTTCATGTCATGGAAAAAGAAGCCATACCTAGCACCGGTCTCTTTGTTTCCACCTACCTGGATGTGTGGGTCTTCCTTAATTGGCCAGATCCTCAGCTGGTGTAACTAGCATAGCTCTGTGCTGACCCAGCATATTCAAGACATGCATTTTAGCCTGCGCTTTGAACTGCCTTTCACTCCCAGCAATGCTGCTTCATTTTAAATCTGCTGGCAATTTACATTCTGGAAGGAGGTTCCATGAATCATTCCCTAAAACTTCCATCTGAACAGGCCGCGTTGCACAGCACACACACAAGTTTTCCCGAATTGTATCCCAAAGTTGGAAGGACAATCGGTGCAATGACTCCTGCCCGGCGAGGGTTGCAACCACTGCTCCCGGCTTTGCAGGAGAGCCTGACCCTCCAAATCGCAGCCTGGGCTTTGGGCTGAACGGCTTTTTATCTTCTCCTCTTTCTGCTTCATGCAGCTTATTCCTTTTTGCAGCGTGGCTTCTGCAAAGCCAAAATCCGGCTAGTTGCTCCCAGGGACCCACCGTGTCTAGCTTGCTCTTGGGCTCTGTTCTCTCCCTTCCTTCTGGCCGTACTGGTTAGTCACTAGGGGAACGCTAGGAGCAGGCGGAGTGCCGCGGGACTTAGACAGACCAGGGGCCGCGCGCCCCCCGGATTGCCCCCAGCCGGTGCAGCCCTGCTCTCCCCAGCCCACCGCGCCCGGCCTGTGCTCGCTCTTCTCACGACCCTTGGGCGTGTCTGGAGGGGGGGCACGGGGCCCAGCCGCGCTCCTCGGGGCACGTTTCCTGCCCTCCTCAGGGCGCAGCTGGACGGCGCCTCCCCCGCGCACGGTCCCGGCTGAGGCTGAGCGCGCCGCGGGCATCAGCGCACGAAGGGTCCCCCCGCCCCGCCAAGGAACAAAAGCAGCGGCGGCGAGGCGCCGGGACCGTGCACGCGACCGGTTGCCTTACCCGGTTCGCTCCTCCCGGGGACTGCCGCGGGGAGCTCTGCCCGGCGGGACGGGCTCCGGCCAGGGGACCATCCGCGCTCGCTCCTCCAGCGGCGCAGCGCCTGCTCCGGGGAAAGCGCCGCTGCTTCCCCGTGCCAGGCTGGGGCTCGCTGCCTCCCCCCGCCGGCGGCCGGGCTCTCGCCCCTGGCAGGCACCAGGGCTGGATGCCGGGAGGCTGCAATGGACGAGCGGGTCGGGTCGGTTTCAGAGCAGCCCCCGGGGGCGGAGGAGCGAGCTGGCCTCCCCCCAGTACAGGCACACGAGCCTCACGCCGCCGCCGGAGCGACTGCTGGCCCCTCGGAAAGTCGCTGCTGGGCCGGAGTCAGCGGGCGAGCCCGCGACGGGCGGCGCAGGAGAGTTCTCAAGTGAGCCAAAGTCACCAGCGGGTCCCCCTGCGGCGGGCGGCGGGCCCCGGGCTAGAGGAGGAGACAGGGGAAGGGAGAGCTGCCTGCCCCGCCCCTCCCCTCGCCGCTCGCCCCCTCCTGGGAGCAGCCCGCTAACAAGGACCCTTCTGTTGGCTTTGTTCGAGACACTCCGCGCAACGCCGCCCTTCGCCTCTCTGCCGCTTGCGGGCTCTCGGGGAAGTCGTGCGCTTGCCGCGCTTGGTGCTTGCGAGGCGGAAAGCTGCGCTCCGCGCTGGCGGAGGTGGCCGGGTGCGCATCTGGCCAGACAGGCAGAGGGGTGCAGAGGCTGCAGGAAAGGAAACTTGGGAGGGGGGGACACGACAAGGTGGGGGGGGGCAGGGAGCGAAAGGACAGGACAGACTTCATCTGTGTTATCTCCGCACTTCTGATTTCATTATCCCTCCCCTCTGCAAGCGAGGAAATAATTTAGGAGGGAATCGCACGTCGGTGAGAGCCAAATCTCTGAAGTCACTCGGATCGTGACTTCCCACTGTAGTAGGAGGGATTTCAAGCTCCTTTTCAATCTGAATATTCCAAGGCCGTTGTCTACCCCATTTGTTGCAATTGTATCAATGGTAATTTTGCACACGGATCATGGGTGGGATATGACGCCCTTCTCCTCGCTGTAGCATGCACAAAGGGAAAGAGATTACATAGAAGTAAAAGGGGGAAATTGTGCATATCATCTCTCTTTTTTTTTAAGGAAAGTGCATTTGTGACTAAACAGTGTCCATACTAGTGGGGCTGGGTTTCGTATTTTCATTATTGTGTATTTTCTAATGCTCCAGGGCTCTTTTGATTATAGATGATGGACTGAATTTGTAGCCCTTCTTGCTCCGCTTTTGGCAATTCATGGTAATAATGCTTCCACTGTTTCCATCCCAGAGCAAGGGGATGTGATACAGTACTGTGAACGTGCTTTTTTCCAGTGGAGTGCAGGGTGTTAGATCAGCAACTGCTGTTGGAAGAGGACACTTCCTTGCACTCAGGTGTTGTGGTTTTAGTCTAATACCTGGATGGAGCAGATGCAGGATGCAGATCTGAATTTCAAACATCCCAGAGGTTATGGACATTTAGAGACAGGATTTAGATTCAGGCCCATTTTTAGTTGTTACTGATGTGGTGACCCAAAACGTGTAGTTATTAAAAATATCTTGCATTGTCACATTATACTTCTAGCACTATAAGGTGTATATTCACCCCATTTATTGAAAGACTTCAGGGGATAACATTAATAGGTATATAACCATGTATACACAACTTTAATTCCACTTGAGCATTCAGATTACATTATAAACCACAAAGCAGCATTCAGATCACCAGTACCTGTGAGATGGAATTTATTTGTGTGACACTGCAGCAAGGCAGTTATTTTGGAACAGCTGGATGTATACCAAAGATTCAGCAAACACATGAGCCTTAGATTTTTGTATTTTTTCTATTTTTCCTTGTATTTTTTTGTAAAAACCCTTCAGAGCTTGTAAACTTGCTGCCACTCTCCCCTCCTTTCACTGTAAACCCGAGTCTGCAAGCCCACAATAAGGTGAGATCCTCAAATAAATAAATAAATAAACCACATGGAAAACTGCTCCACCAAGAGGTCAGGAAATTCAATTTATCTCCCTAGCTCCTATTTAAATTGGCTTCTGGCTCCAAATGCAGAAGCTAAGCAAGCTGCTGAAACATATTGTAATGGTAATGTTTTTTCTGAAATTGCTGCATCAGTTTCTCACTGTAAATTAGATTGTCTGAGAATTTGTGTGGGCATTAATGCATATGCAGCTTTATATGCGTTCACTGCTTTGTATATGTTCACAGTTATGCACATGGAATGTGTGTGAATGTATGTGTGAGCATATGTTTGTGTTATGGTGTGTGTGTGTATTCATAAGCGAGTTTGTAACTGCATATGTATGTGTGCATGAGTATGCAAGTGTGTGTATTTGTGCGAGTGTGTATATGTGCGTATGTGAATGTGTGTTTTTGGTATAATATATACCATGCCCTCCATGTGATAAATAGCACAGACATGATACATTTAGTTATCATTCACCTAGGACTGCATTACCTGCCATCTGCCCACTAATCTATCTTCCCCAGGATTTATTCTAACATCCAACCCCTTGAACAGTTGCTAACAACTTCTTTTTTTTTAAAAATCCATGTGCCACAAGAATGTTCTCTGCTTCCTACACCCAAAGTACTCCAGCCTGAGGCCTAGGACAGGCTAGATTAAGGCCTGAGCCAGTGACAGCTTTTCTGTACATAAAAATGTTGCAGCCCCACAGGGCTTGAAATGTGAGCTATTTATCTTTGTGAAAGGGAGATTCCCAGCTTACTAATGGGGGGCACAGCACTCATTTCTAGCCTTGCAGAGCCACAAAGTATCAAACTTTAAAGCTACAATGTTTCTCTGTATAAAAACGGCATTTTAGATCTTGTTTAACAAGCTCCCTCTGAGCCCTGTATGGTTGGATTCGTGGTAACTAAGGCGTCTGGCTTTATAGAGAGAAGGATACAACAAATAGTCCCAATAAAAAAGTTAAGCACTCTTTAACATTCCTAAAATATTTTTTCTTTAAAACACATGGCATATGCAGAATGCATGTGCCTAATAGTGTGGTGTGGAACGAAGGTTTTACTGGCATTCATTTGGGATGACCAGCATAATTTACTAGTGGCTTTGCTACTCCTGGGTAGGGTACCCATCCCAAACTCAGGCTGATAAAATCTATGTGTGTGTGTATGTGTGTTTAATGTAAGCATGTGTGCCTTAAGGAACAGTGTTGTGCACTTGTGTATGAAGGTTTGTCTTTAGGTATGTGTTTAGGTTTGTGTGTTTGTACATGGAGGTGTACACGGGTGTCTGGGTTGGTGAGTGCAATACTCTTGAACGTGAGAATGTGTATATGACAGCCTCAGCATACTGCGTGTCAGGTTACAGCCTCCACCTATCAGTGCTGGTTGGTTATTAGCAGCTCACTACCCTTGTCTTCCACAAAGAAGGCTGTTTAATGGATTCAGGTAATGGGGAGCGTGTTAGGAAAAGGGTTTGTTGTATTAGATGGAAAGCATCAAGATATTTCCATATCCTCTAACAACCACCTGCTCCTTAGCTTGGCTTCTTTACCCTTCCTGTCTACATTACAGCCAGTGCTGTTTTCTTAGACCCTGCCTCTTCATTCATGTCACACCCACCTTGTTGGACCAGTGAACCTACTACTGGTTGTATTATTTTGCTTTCTTCATCTTCAGTTCATACCAAGGAGCCAAAATGTTGGTATTGAATGACATTGCAGTTAGATATGGTAGCACAAATAAAATTCTGGTACTGTAATGGTGTGGTTGGACACTATGCAGTCATCAGAGTCTTGTACAGAATACTGGTGGGGAGGATGAGAGAGATGGACTATATCTTTATGAGTTTATATTTAAAGAATGAAAGACATACGTGGCCTGATCCTGTAAGCCTTTTATGTATAGTGTACCCATTGAAGCAAGTGGGAGTTATGCAGAAGGCTTGCAGGATTGGGTCTACGTAGATATCATTATGATTAGATATATGTGAAAAATGATGGTTATCTGGATTGACTGCACACCATTGGGATTTATATGTGATTTCTAGACATAGTTAAGCTTGCAGGATTTTTGAACTTCTCCCTTATTGTTTCCATTGTAACAAGGGGGTATGTCGTGTATGTTGTGGTTAAAGAAGATTCTAATCAAAATATATATTTTAAAATTATTATAATTTTGAAATGAATGCAGAAGGAAGAGGGTCTATAATTGGCCACGCATGTTATCTGAGAGTGATGACTTGTGTAGGCTTTTAGTACACTATCAACAGTAGTAGCAGTATACTTGGGGAGTTGAAGGAGAGC